GCTTTCTTCTATATTATATTTTCTATATTTTTATCTAATCTTATTTTACCTTCGTTTTATACCCTACCCTGATATTCTGTGTTGTCTTGTTGCTTTGTTTAGCCCCTTTGTTGAACAGTCGTGCTGCTGTAACACCTGAACTTCCTTTTTTTTAAGTCTATAGCTTCAGGATGACACAAGCAGCTTGTCTTTCCACACGATCACATCTCCTGAGTGGACAGAGACGAGTCTTTCATGATGATTTCAGCTTCGTCTGACTGGTTGAAAGTCAACGATGTGAACGTATCCCGTGTCTGGTGCAGCCTGTGCACCTTCCTGGCTCTAATACAGCCTCCCAAGAGTCTTTGATGCTGCGTCCTGTGGAGAGATTATCCAACACGACATTAACATTTACGGTCTGTTTCACTTCATCTCAAATTCATGCTCTCGTTGCTGAACGGGTGCCAAATTTTTGATCCTGAAAACAGATGTAAAAGGAACTAAGCTGGCGTTTTGGAGGATGAATTAGAATGTACGGCGGCGGTCCGTCACGTCAGATAAAACCCTCACGCACACGATGTCTGCGGCTTCAATACAATAATAATAATAATAATCATACCTGACTTGTCATGTTGTCTTGATACTGTTAAATGTACACTGTCCATATCTCTGGAGCGTATTATATGTTGTATGTACAGTATATTATCCATGAGTAAAGGGCTGCAGATGGTTTTTATCACAAATCTAAGCAGATAAGAAATTAGATTTAGCTCTTTACGTCTGTGATGTGCTCCTGGCTGGACTCATTTGTTGCCTACTTATCTTATCTGCATCTCTACTTTATGCCAAAATAGATTAAAAACTGCCTTTAAAAACACAACATGGCTTCTGTAATGGCAATTTTTCAATGTCCTTAGATTACCGTTGCTGCACAGGTGGAGCAGAGTGAACGGACGCAGACCAAAGACAGAACCTCCGGTCCGTATACTCGCCATTAGCGGATACAAGACATGAAAATACAGCGGCTTTTCCATGGTGGATTTGGTATCTGTGCTGGTCTGGTGAGAACTGTTGGCTCTCCTCCTACCTGTGGCCTCCTCTTCCTGTCACCTGTGGCCTCTACATGTACACCCTGTGTCCAAACAATCCACATCAGATTACCTGCTGACAACAAGCAGAAACGACTCCTACAGCTTTAATGGCAAAACAAACCAGCGGTGAGGCTTGGTCACAGTTTGGAGCTCAATGCTAACGCTAGCAGGCTGGTGTTTAGATTTATGGTAGTATTGGGTCATTTGGACTCATTACATTTGCTAATTAGTGCTCAATGTGAAGTGAGCTAATCAGAGCATCACTGGTTTTGTAAATCAAGTATTGACAAACTAAGTGTCAACGTGATGAACTCAGCAAAGGAGGAGTTACCAAAGAGGTCAAAAGCTTTTATCTGGACTTCACAACCCATCAAATACAAACAAGTTTCTCTCTGGTCGTTGATTAAACCCATAAAAGCTCATCTCTGTGCATCACAGTTACAGGTTTAAAGGTTTTTCCCGTTGAAATAATTCCTTGATACCTCAAAATGGCTAAAATTGAACTCTACACAGTTGTCCGCTATAGAAGATTCAGATTTAGGAAGTTCATCCCTCCCCACTCACAGCAGCTTGAGCACACCAGCTCACCCACAACTCTGCTCAAACGCTGTAACACCGCTCTATGCTATATGATAAAAAAAAACACCTCATGGACATTTATGGACATCCTCTGGGAACCGTGAGTCCACAACGCGACGCCTGTCTATCCGATTGCTGTTGAGTTGTTTTAATTTGGACCCACGTGGTCATCAACCGACCGCTCGCTAACAACAACAGCTGAAGCTTTATATAGCAAAGAAGACGTCATCTCCTGGAATAGCCAACTCGTGTCTATAGGAGCATAGTAGGTCATCATCAAACAGAAAAACAAATAGAAGCTGCAGCAACAACATAATCTGAAAAGCGGTTCTGGTTGCTGTAAACATCGGATTGCTCCAATAACCACACAGTGAATACAATGCGTCGCTCTGTACATGAAGGAATGCTATAAGATTTATCATTTATAATCCTGTCTACACAAACAGTCATTCGGTTTGTACTCCGACACACTTATGTTGTCCTTAAACCGCTCACATCTAAGTTTCACATCTATCCATCATCTCTACACCTTAATCCTCAC